GGTCTGCACGCGGCCACCAAAGCGTCGGAGGGAACGCAATGAACTCAACACCCACAAAACTAACACCGGCGCAGCAAGATATATGTATTCTACAAAAGACTGCCACCTACACAGGTCCCGAGATTCTCAAGAAAGGCATGGGAGTTCAATAACTTTTGGAGGAGTTTTTAGCTAACGTTCATGACCAACCGTTGACAAATCTGCAAACATTCAACTATCTGCTTCATTCGCTTCAAGGAGAAGCCAGGGACGTAAACAAACGTTATGCTGTTAATGACGACAATTACGAAGACGCCATAAGTCCTTCACAGACCACGCACGGAGACAGCTCCAAATTGATACCTTACAGCGAATATAATGCGCAAAAGCAGAAAGTCCCGGTATTCACTCCCAGAGGCGCCTTTTGGAATATCATCCCTACAATATCACAACTGGAGAAGGAACAGGTGAGCCTCTACGGCTCCTACCTCATCTCTAAGTAGTTCTCTCTAAGTTCAACACGTCTCTCGGACAGTAATCACGGCGTTTCTCTCCAAGAACATCAGCGAAGCAGAATGTACAAAGCAGGACGCCGTAAAACTTCTTGATCAGCTGGTCGACACAATAACGAATTAATGGCATGGCTTGGAGCGACACCACGGACAACGATGCGCTTCCATGGCCTATAGATGTTTCGAAACAAAAGTCAAGAGTTCCGAATGTATGTTTTGTGCCTCACAATTTCATAAGTCCTCAGTGTGCACCTGATGAGCCACTATAGCAGATCGGCAATCTTATGCTGGCACGTAAGCTATGCCTCAAATACGGGAAACCTGGTCACCCTTTGAAGGAATGCACAAGTGCAAGGGATTCTCCATAAAATATGTTGTGTTATGGGCCGTGAGACGAAGTTTCCTAGAAGTATTGTGAACACGGTTGCATTGTAATTTCGAATGTTCTTTTCACATTTCTTACATGAAGCTAGTTATCATAACGTCTGTATCGATTGCGAGCCACGAATGTGAATCATCCACGACTTGGTTCCGCCACATAGCTTACCATGTAGTATTAGCATGCAGTGTTTCTTCAACTCTGGTTGTCTAGCCTCACCCTATATGAGGCCGTTTCTCTGGTGGAAAATTCATTATTTGTGGTATTCTCTATGGGCAAAGTGCCCTGACATACTGCTACCAAGAAGCCGAATAAAAGGGTAAGTCACCTTTGTTACTCTCAAAATAAAGAAACCTGACAGTGCTCTACTACACAAGTCAGGGATATCGCACGTGCCAGGGGCAACGACATCATAGCACCTTGTGCCCACAACGCACGAAAGAAGTGAAGAGTGCATGTAAAAATGCGCCAGATGGTACAAAAGATGCCTCTTCTAAGACCCGGACGTAAACCTCCAGCCAAAACGCCGGATATTCGGCAGCGTGCCCCTGTTCAAGGAAAAGAACCAGCGTTATTGCGATGGAGAGGCGCGATACACCCCGTGGCGTGCATCTCAAAGAGTATAAACTCATGACG